TAAGTAACCTCTTGTTTAAGGCTGGACCACATGGTTTGGGCTTGTCAGAACAGCCTGTCGTACTTCAATCTGCTGGAGCCCCTTTAATGCCCCAACTTGGTTCTCCGGTCCAAACATCTATAGCCAGCAGCATCTGTGTCTTGCCCTCTCAGCAGAACATCAGCATACCTGTGAGCCAAGGAGAGACAGAAGGCAGTAATGTGCAAATACTCTCCCAATCTATCAACAAAACTCAGACACTGGAATCTGGTCAGAATACGGTTAGTTTAGGTCAAGGGTCAGCCACCCATTTCAACCCTTCCAAAGGACAGGTTTTGGGCGTGTTTACTCGCCCACAAACACTGTCACCTTCACAGAGCAGCAGAACTACTCCGATATCCAGATCCTATGAACAGAAGCAAAGTAACTCCAGTACTGTGGCAACCGTGACAGGAGGGGAAAAAGTCAAGACAAAAGCAAAGAGAAGTATGCAAAATCCAGAAGCAGTCGGAGGAAAGAAACATAAGGCCTATCAGGAGCATCACAACAGCCCTCCAGTGAAAGTCTCCTCAAATTCAAGGTAAACCTATGGCATTTAAAAGCCTAATTTGCAACATTTATGAATAAGCTTCTCTGCTTTCCGAGTTAATAAGCTACAACCTAGACACTAAGTTTTTTTTTATAACTAAATTGATTTTGAAAATTGAGACTTTGATTATTGAGAATGATTTGAAAATTGAGAGTTTGATTAACACTTTTTGTTAATGGCTTGTTAAGTATGCTTATATTAGGCTAATGTCACTTAGTTGGACCAAAATGTACTATTCTCTGTAGCACTGTAGATTTGTACGTTCATTTGTAACATTTATATATGTTTGTCTTTTTGAGCAGTTCTAAAGGACCATGTTCCCCAGAACCAATGGACACTGGCAAACCTACAGACAAGACAAGTCAACAGGGGTAAGTCTTACACTCATCTAATTTTGAACTGAATAATAATGACAATAATTCCTCTACTATTTTAAATATTATTATTTACAGTAAAAAGAAGACAACTGAAGGTCCTGGAAAAATACTAGGCAAAGACAAAGCCTCACATGCCAAAAGGACAGGGTCTCTTATTGTGTCATCACCACCTGGTCAGGAGGACAACACCAAGGATACTGTACTTGACAGCAAGCCTAAGAAGGGCATCATCTTTGAAATCTCAAGTGAAGATGGCTTCCACATTCGCTGTGAGAGTATTGAAGGTAAAAGAGGCCACTGTAGTAAAATATTCACTTTGTGCTCATAAAAATATTTTCAAGATCATTTTAAAACAGCGCTCAGATACTTCTACTATAAAATGTTGTCTTCATGTCTTTGCAGAGGCTTGGAAGTCCCTGACAGATAAGGTGCAAGAGGCTAGATCCAATGCACGTCTTAAAGAACTTTCCTTTGATGGTGAGATGTCTAAAAAAAATTTACCACTGCTTTTTGTATTTAAGAGAAAATATATTAATTCAACATAAAATAATTCTCATTATCTCACAAACCGTCTACCCCGCAGGTGTGAATGCTCTACGGATGCTTGGTGTTGTTCACGAGGCAGTGGTTTTCTTGTTAGAGCAGCTGTCTGGCTCCAGACATTGTCGTAGCTACCGCTTTCGTTTCCACAAGCCTGAAGAGTCTGATGAGCCTCCAATCAACCCACATGGGTCAGCTAGAGCGGAAGTCCACAACAGGTCTGAATGTCCCCCATACACAGAAAATATATGGAGACTGAATGACTGAACTTTGACTTAGTTCACTTGTTTATGACTGCATGCAGAAAATAGTTTATCCTCAAGTATAACATTATGCAATTTTTTTTTTTTTTATATGGGTAAATGTATTAATTCTATTCATACACATACACACGCAAGCTATCAGACTGTAATAGCAATGTAAATGGTATGTATTTACTATATTTGAGCGCTGGCTCTTTTGTTTCCAGGAGGTCTATATTTGATGTCTTTAACTTTTTGGCCTCAAAACACCGCCAGCCTCCTGAGTACCAGCCACAGGAAGAAGATGAAGAAGAGGGGCAGCTCAGAGTTGCCAGGTTAACACCAAACTCATTAACACTAAATATAACCTCTGAATTTTTAAATGCTTTTGCGTTTGGTTAGTTTACTTATTGCTGTTTCATGTACTGTTGATGCAGGCGTGCCTCCATGGAGTTACCACTGGCTGTGAGGTTCAAACAGCTTAAGACCACTTGTAAGGAAACTGTGGGAGTCTACAGGTGAGCTCATTGGTTTGCTTTGTTTGGGATCAACATAAATATGGGGAGTAAAGAAGAATACACATTCATTCATTCATGCTAATGTTGAAGACCTTGTCTTAAAATTGTTTGCTCTCAGGTCTCCAATTCATGGCCGTGGTCTCTTTTGCAAGAAAACTATTGAGGCTGGGGAGATGGTCATAGAATATTCTGGAAATGTCATTCGTTCTGTTCTCACAGACAAAAGAGAGAAATATTATGATGGAAAGGTGAGAATCTGAATATTTACTTAAGTCTTACCTACCGTATATATACACACATATGTGCTTATATATTTTAAATATATATTTTAGGGGATTGGTTGTTACATGTTTCGCATCGATGATTATGAGGTTGTAGATGCTACAGTCCATGGCAATGCAGCGCGGTTCATCAACCACTCGTGTGAGCCCAACTGCTATTCTCGTGTCATTACTGTGGACGGTCAGAAGCACATAGTCATCTTTGCCCTTCGCCGTATCTACTGTGGGGAGGAGCTCACTTACGACTACAAGTTCCCTATTGAGGATGCCAGCAACAAGCTGCCCTGCAACTGTGGCGCAAAGAAGTGCCGCAAATTTCTCAACTAAAGAGGGCCTTTGGAAGACTCCTGCTGAGATCCTGGGATTGGCTGTTGGTAAAACTTCAAGGGCCATTTTGGAGGAGGGGCCATTTGTAGAGATTTAACATGTTGTGCCTCATTTGTTTTTGTATGGTCTGGAAAAGGGATTTATCCAATTACAGAAAGGAAATGGTTTAAGCCTTCATTATACTGCAATATCAAAATTTAAATTTGGTGTTCTTTCAAACACTCTGCATTGGCCCATCCTCCTTACTTTCCTATGTATTGCTTTTATCTCATGATTCTGTGGTCCACCAATGCCAGGACATTATTATACAAGAAAAAGATATCAAAGAACTTTGTTCCATTTTACACCAAAGTGCAATTTGTTTAAGGGACTCGGAACAGTAATTTGACACTTTTTTTAAACTGTTACTGATGCACATTTCCCTGTCTGAATGTGCCCTGATGCCTTCACAGTTGTAGAGATCAACTAGAGGCTTCCCCAGCAAGTGTTAATTAAGCGCTTATTAGTGTACATTGAACACTGTAAATAGAGATCTGTGCGTAACACAGTTAGTAGTTGCTGCTTAGAGAGGAGCTGGAGATGCAGTAAGGAAAGGCCATATGATGGACGGAAAAGTTAAGGGAGTTGTTCAAAGCAGGACACCTGATTTTTATTACTTTTAGGCTAACTATGCGGTAGGTAGCCACGTTGATGTAGATTTTAGTTGGGGTGAAGAGTTGGGCCTCCACAGCAAGGCAGCTAGAGATTCTGGTGGACTGACAGCCAATGGACTGGAGTACTCTACTGATTTGTTTAGGGCAGACATATTTATGATGTTTGTGGTGATCCAGAAGAGAATTTGTGTAATATACAGGAGAGATAAAATCAATGCAGGTTGCATGTTTTTTTTTTTTTTTTTAATAAAACTTTGTGGTACAAATATAAGCTCAGTAAAATTGTGTTCCAAAAACAGCCGCAAGGAGAACCAAACATTGTGACCTTAATTTGAATTTGAACCATTTTCTTTATGCACCTGTTGGGATAAATATTACTACAACTATTGTTTTTGTTTTGTATAGTATTGAGTCTTTTACAATTTTGCCCGTTGTTTGTCTTTTTTATTATGGGCAGGGAAATATGCTTGCTTTTTAAAATGTACATAATGTATATTTTTCTATAAAAGACTTAAAAGCACTCACTAGTGAATAGCACTTAATGGTATTTATATTTTTTAAGAAATCATATTTATTTTATTGCCATTTTTCTAGGAAATAGAGGTTTACGGACACTAATGCTTGGTCTGTGTTTTGTATTTTTGCTGCCTTTTCAGTTGTGATATTTTCTGTTTTTGTGGTTTTACAGTTTGATTTGTGGCTGAATGTTTTCTTTGATTCCAAAGACTGACGCTGGTCTGTGACTTGGTCCTGAGTTCAGTCCACCAGGAGCTCTTTATTCCAGTGCATGGGTCAGGGCAGAACTATTTCATCAGTGTCAGTTGTGTGAATCTATATGCACTTGAGAGAGCTCAGATTGTTCATCCATAGCAGATATCTCCTCTCTCCAGCCTTATTGTTCTCATGCCACCTTAGACAGAGAATCCAACACCAGGCAAAAACATTTGACTTGCCAATAATCCACAGCCACAAGACTTGAATTGGTAATAGCCGTTGGAAATAATATAACAAATGTCTTTGCATTTTGATCTGACCTGGTTGTGAATATTAAGCAGGTGCCTTTAATGACAGAAAGCTACAACATACAAAATGTCATAACCATCCAGCCTCTCCACATCTTTATAAAACCACTCTTACGGGTGACCACTATTGATTGCTCATCTTTTCAAAACTTTTTGAATTAGAAGAATTTTGAATTTTGTTACAGTTTGTTGTCTTCTGATGTGTTGAAACAAAGTAGAAATAATCAGACTGTTCTTTGCTGTTCATGCCAATGTCACCTGAAGGCCATTAGCTGTCACTCCAACACCCAGCTGGCACAAGCAGGAGGAAGTGTCTTGTGTTTGGTTGTGCCTGTATGGTCACTGTGAGCAGCAGAGGGCATGTTTGAGGCTCCAGTAAAAGTGCACTTGACTCTTTTCTGCCATGTAGTGAGAGCAGGGACCACTCCAGCAGCCCTTCTCCCATTCGTGCACCACCAGGGCTGTACCGCCATTGGTTGGGTTCTGCTTAAGCCAAGCATGAATGTATTTTATCTGGACATCATTTGACCTATGATATATTTGTTTTCACTACACTGACAGAGAATAGAGCGGTGAACTACAGTTTTAACGTTCACAATGGGATTAATAATTCAGTGGCTTCTTTTCAACAGTTATGCTATAGCTTCATAATGTCAAGGGCTCCATCTAGAACTTGCATTTATTTTGATGGATTCATTCACAGAAACTATGTCACATATGTATACACAAGAAGGGTTTTAGTTGCGTTATCTGTGCCAGATCAGTGGCCCATCATTCTCTGTAATTATAGTATAAATACATACAACAATATTATATGGAAACATGCATAGTCATTTCTTGTACTTTAGTATCTATATAATATATGGAATGGACAGACAAAACTTAGTTACAGTAGCAAAACAACAGACTATAATGGTTAATAGCAATGTCTAAATGTAATATTTAACAGGTTTGTGTTTCAGATACAACAAATCATTCTTTTGTATATTGATATCCAGTGCCTGTAGATGTCCTTGCATCAGCGATGGACATTACAGTTCCTCTCTTTCGGTTCCTTTATTTGTTAAGAATGTTAGTGTTATTAATGTGGTTGTGAACTTCTGGAGGTCAGCCATTTTGGTTTCTCTCACTTCTGGTTATTTGGTTACTGTCAGTGAATGTTCTTTCTGTTTCCATTGTATGTTTTAACGGGACTATTTTAGCGGGCTTATTGATGTGGTATCAGATTTTTGTGGAGCCTTTCCGGTAGCTGTAAAACATCCAACCAGATTCATTTTATTTGGAGCCTCTTGAGTCTCTCTTAAGCTTCAGTTGTACTTATTATGATAATGTACTGTTTTATTAGAAAGTCATAATGCTGAGTTTAATAATGAAAGATTTTATTTATTTATTTTCGGGCAGCATCTTCCCCCGAGATATTGACCTTTCCATGTACCTGTAATTTCTTTGTTGTGCATAGATGTTTTCAGTCCAGGACTGGAAGTCAGTGGGAGGCAGTGGAAATGCTCAGAAAAGGCTCTTTTCTTATGCCTTGAATATACCTTTGTCTTATCAATATTTCTCTCTGTAATAATAATAATAATGCGTATAGAATGGTCATAATTTCTCCTGTTTTGACAGTATTTCTCTCAATATACACATTTACAAAATGAAGGAAAACCAACCATGGTGAAAATAAACCACAAACTACTTGGTTGAATGTATAATTAGGAAACAAAGTTGTACATAAATGTAAAAAGAAAAGTTTCTAATCATGTTTATTTTCTATGCACTTTTTTTATTTAAGTGATAGTTTAAATAATAAACATGTCTTCTTTACTCTTTCTTGTTGTTTGCTTGGTTAATTTGAAGACAACTTTTGCTGTAAATGCCTGGCTGTAATGCTTTATCTTATTAGCTCCTATAAGCTTAGACAGGAAGTGATGGAGTCAGACCCAGAATGTGCTGATTCTGGCAGAAACTAATTGAAAACAAAGGTCTTGCTCTGTTTCTCTCTGGGGACTGTTGGAGACCCCCCCCCCAACTTCAGCCTGATGAGTCAGGGTTTAGAATCCACTGTTTCAAAGAGCTGCGTTCCTCTCAGAGCTCATAAAAGGTGTTTTACAGCTTAAACAGATGTGACACATCACACAACTGTTGAGACACTTTCACTGTTTACTGCATCACAAGCAAAAACTGCACAAAAAAAACTCCACCTGATAACATTCATTCTCAGCATCAACTACAGTATTCTGCAAAACAAAACAGTAGTTCTGCTACCATTCACAACCTTACTGTAGGTGCTACTTACTTGGCACTTTGTATGGAAAGTTGAATAATCAAGCTGGTTGCACTAGAAGCTTTGTATGAAACAATAAAAATAATTTTGCTCTGTATTTAATTTCACCAGAATATTTCTCAGCACGTCTTTGCACCACCCAGATGGAGTGTGATCCTGGTGGTCCCTGTTGGTCAGTGTGAAGAGAGTGACGACTCAATCTGGCACAGAGTCAAACAAACTGTGAAATGCAACCAAGACTTTACTAACACTGTCCATGACACATCATATAATCTCTGGAATCTTCATAGAAAACGAATGGGAACAAAAGCCCATGTATAGTATAGTCTTCACATTTACACTTCTTCTCAAATCAATTCTTCCATTATAAACCACAATTTTGACATATTTTGTGCAAATGTTTCCCAATACTCTCCTCCCTCTCTCCACCCCTCTATCCTCCGCCCACTTCAGGCTCTAATTGGGTTTTCATTACCATGACCCCAGTTTTCTTCAGTCTCACTCAATGTTTGGAAAGGGGAAGCGTTCACTGGAATTATTTTGTTCACTTTTTTCCAAAGTTTCTCTACACCCTGAACAAGTAAGTTTAAACAAATGTGCTGTTCGTATATTTTTGGAAAAGTTAGAAATCTTCATTCTCAAGCTTGTTTATACATGTTTTAATGGCTAAAGCATGAATGTTAGTTTTAGAAGACTTGGATGGACTAACACACTAAATATTTAGCACAGACACAACTCAAAGTCAATGTTAAATCCCAAACTCTGCCTAAACCTGCAGCTGTCTTTGTTATAGTAATTATTTGCTGTTGTATCCAAAACATAGAATCTGTACAGTAGGGGTGAAGAATGAAAATGAGCATTTTCCAGGATTATTCTATCAAGCAAAGCAGAGTGTCAACTTGAAACGAAAGCTTTTTAAATAAATATAAAATGGGAATGGGGAATGGGGAATTGTGTGCTTCCGTTCTACAGTATAACCAACATCTGAGATATGGTTTTCTCTGTAGCATTTCTGCTTGTTTAGTGTAGACATGTGAAGTGAGATGGTTTTAGTTTATCATAGAAGTCATTAACGTATCTTATTTTAGATTGCATTAGTGTATTTTGTGTATTTTATTTGTGCCTAAGCTACTCATTCTGATTAGAAATGTGCCACACTGCCCACCGGAGTAATTCTGCATACAACAGATATCTGACAATTAACAATAATTATATAAATATAACAAACATATTCCTAAACAGTGCTACTGGAATATTGATAACAGCCTATAAATAATTCACACATGCAAAGAAATTGAAACATAGATGGCATTCAATTATGCTATGTTCAATAATGCTAAATGTGAAAATGATGCTTTCTCACTCTAGGTTGTGACAGTGAAATGACAACTCTGGGACAGTCTTCAGTCTGCTTACTGCTGATGATGCAAGTGTGTCTTTCTGGGCAGTTGGATGACAATAAGATCCCATCCAGTCTCTGTGTGGGACAGCCTGGTATCCCAGGATCCCCAGGGGTCCATGGCAGTACAGGTCAGCCAGGACGAGATGGGCGGGATGGGAGGGACGCAGCACCTGGAGAGAAAGGAGAGAAGGGTGACAGGGGTGACAGAGGTAAACTCATTTCTGGTTTCTATGAAAAAATGTATGTTGTGAAAAGAAGCGTAAGTGTAATAAACACTGATCTTATTCTCAGGTGAGACAGGACAGAGAGGCCTGACAGGGGATAGGGGTGACCCTGGAGTGAAAGGAGAGAGGGGCCAGTCTGGAGAATGTGCTGTTGCTCCCAAATCTGCATTCAGTGCCAAACTGTCAGAAGGTCTCACTCTACCGCTCAGTGTGGGAGACACTGTGCGTTTTAATAAGATTACCCTCAATGAGCAGGATGACTATAATGCAGAGACGGGGCGCTTCACCTGTAAAGTCCCTGGAGTTTACTATTTTGCGGTCCACGCCACAGTGTACCGCGCCAGCCTGCAGTTTGACTTGATGAAGAATGGACATGCTGTGGCCTCTTACTTTCAGTTTTATGGAAACTGGCCCAAACCTGTGTCTCTCTCTGGTGGGTCCCTGCTACACCTGGTGCCAGGAGACCAGGTCTGGGTTCAGATGGCTCTGGGTGAGTACAACGGCTTTTACACCAGCTCCAAGACGGACAGCACCTTCAGTGGCTTCCTGATCTACTCTGACTGGAAACATTCTGCAGTCTTTGCATGATGTTTCCTCTGAAAGGGACTGACTAATCTGCCAAAATAACAAAAGATACGATGTTGTAATGACTGATTTACAGTATGAACTCAGCATGACACTCTTCTTGAAATGATATTGTGGTATGCCTCAGGTTCTTTACTTTCTTTTACTTCAAACTAACAAAATTTTTTGTCTGAAATTTTAATAAAATAAACAAAAGTAAGCTATAAATTTTATTAACTGACCTCAGGCAAAACAAAAATGTATTTTTACTTGACTTTAACTTTCCAACTGTGGCTGAATGAATTTCCCGATATAGCCACAACACAAAACATTGGAAATTACAATTTTAACAACGCTTACCAAGAAGACGAAAAAATGCACCTTGGTTTCACAGAACTCTCCATGATGTCACCACATTTCTTCTTTATTACCGCTGATGGTGATTTCCTTGTTTGTCGCATTCATGATTTTACTCAGCCTAAAAACACCCATCCCTCTGGGGCAGATAGAATATTTTGGAGATTTAATCAACTTTCGTCCGGCATGCATTTCCCATTAGTTCACAGCCTGTAAGCTTTTCTCCATATGGGTGCTGCTGGGTGATGCCCAGGCAGACAGTGACTTCACTCACCGGGCTATGGTTACTATTAGACTTTTGAAAGCAGGCTGTAGTCTTAAAGGTGTACTGTGTAACTTTTCTGGTAGGGGGTCTGTCACAAGACTGTTTCCATGGAGATATTATTGTTTTGCCTGTAAGGTTTCATAATATGGCATTAAACTCATCTATGTTGTATTCAGTTACTGCTCAAATGTAATTACAGACAAGACTTGAATTTTACACAAAAGTTTAAGGTTGTCTGGTAGGATAAAAGTAAAATAGGCTGTACTTCGCCCTATGTAGCGTAGGCCTACTGTACATATATGCACAGGCAACGATATAGCCTATGCAGAGGTAATTTCTGCTGCTTTACACCGCCTCCAGGAGATGGCAGTGGTGCATTAGTATTAATACGCAATCGAACCTGTCAAAACTTTTGGTGTGATTGTTGACAACAGCTGCTGCAACGATATGACCTAGCTTCGTTGGGATTGAAGAAATCCACGGACTATAAAAATGTAGCCCAGTCATTACTGACAGTCTTGTTTGCAGTGGGTGGCATGAATGACGTGAAATAATCTACAGTAGTCTATGCTGAACTGAAACCCCCTTTGCACAGACACAAACCGATCAATAAGGTATGGCTCTTTCTCCTCTATCTGCTCATAACAAATGTATGACAGCTGAGCACATGCAATAATAGGCCTACTATGTTATTCAATCATATCAACAGATCAGTGTACAGTGAACTATGGACCTACAGTGAGCCTGACAAATTCATATTCCCATCCATTGCTAAAGTGAAATTAGTGATGGGCCCTTTGCATGCACATGGATCCATGCTACTTCAAGATGGAGTCCTGACCAGCCTCACATGTTTTCATTACAGAACAGACTATAATATTAAACTTACATCATTACTGAATATAGTCTATTGCAACTCTACATAGCATGTGCTTACTTCTCCAAACAAGTGCCACACACATTATAAACTTGTGTATTTTCCCTAAACTGTCCTGTGAAAAGTGGTCAATTGTATTCCCTATGAAACTTAAATAGAAACAAGACCTCACAACAGTCCTTTAGCATGTATGTATAGGGAAATTCTCCTCTTTCACCATATCCCCAAAGGGAGGTTAGGGGTGAGCTGCAGCCCACTACTGTTTATAAGTACATTGCAGTTCACTAACTATGTTTACCCTGTCTCTTGCTCATTAGGGCAAGATTAACGCAAACACTGAAGAATGACCGAAAACCACAGATGCACAAAGTAAAACATATTATATCCATATAGGAATGGAGTTATACAAGTTTGGACTAACCATAGACAATTTTCCCACACAGCTCCTGGGGCACTGGGGGTAAAAGGAAGAGGACCACTAAAGCGGGGGTTCTCAAGCTTTTTGAGGCCAGGGATCCCTTATCAGTATGAAAATATCCAAATGATCCTCCCATTGTTCTCCATGATGACATCACATTAAAATTCTGAAGCCATGTTTATAACTAGATTTGGGTGAAAGGTCATCTTGTCATTTTATTTTTTGTTTAGTTATTTCTATTAAAAACATTGTATGTTTGGGATTGTTTATCATAAAAATGTAGTATTTAAGTTATGCTCAACTGTTATCAAAATTTGGGGGGGACCCCTGACCTCACTTTAAGAACCAGTGCTCTAGAGTATAAGGCTCCTCTGACATTAAACCTTCTCTCCGTTTGAAAAATATGCTGGGTTCACAGAAGTAGAACAAACTGTTATGCCATGAATACACATCCTTTACATACATTACAAATATAACATTGAATAATGTTTCTTTCTATCTTAAGATTGACTATTCTGCAAAGAAATGTAATTAAAATATGTCTGGAAAAATAGACTGTAAATTTAAAATAAAATTGCTGATGAGAATTACAGCTGAAATGGTTTATTAAGAGGTCAAACAATCTTTACATTCATGTTTTCAGTAAAATATTCATTGTCAAACAGCTCTCAGATTCTTTCAGCATTTTAGGAATTCCTGAATAATTATAGTCACAACAGTCTAGCCTCTTTAAAGGGAACATTTAGAAGATTTGTCCTTTGGCATTAATTCACAGAAATAACAGACAGGAATTATGAATAGAAAAAAATGTACAAAAAAAGTTCAAATTTAATTGATATCACTCTTCTTTAAATCAAACACCAACTAATTCACATCAGCAATAATAGAATAATGGTGGTTTCCCAGATGTGCAATGTAAACTTAAAACATATAAAGCACAATAAAGTGTCTTATTTTGTGATGGTCCCTTTAAAACAGCAAATGGCCTTCTCTCAAGAGAATGGAGAAGAAGAGCCTTTTATAGATTGTGACCGTAATGCACCTCTCATAGAAAACTGAATTATGCCAAGAATACAAAAAAAACTGCAGTTAGAGGTGACAGACAATAAAATCATTGTTTCTTTATTTAAATTTGTTTTAAATTGGTTTAATCTTGACAGAATGAAGCAAATTGTATTTAAAAACCTCAATAACAGTGCACATACATAGCACTGTTTTGTTCCCCACCTTCACAGCTTGGATCTGCAAAAAACACAAGCCCATTTTGCAAAGACAAAAATGGTGGTTAATTACAGCATCAAAAGAATTCTTTAAGGCTTCTATTACCACAACCTATTAAACATTAGAACAATCATTGGTCCGTTGTTCAATTTGCAAATTAAGGAAATTATAGGAAAGTAGCCCCACAGTTACAAATACACATCCATAGTATTGAGGATCATATGTCGGCACAGAGGGCAGTTCTGCTGATAGATAGGTTGTCTAAGTAATATGTCTGTACAGTCTCTACATAGACACAGGTGCCGACAGGGCAAGAGAACCACAGTTTTGGTAGAGTCCTGGCAGATCACACACTTCTTCCTCTCCTCCTGTTCCTTAAGAAGATTTAGCAGATCCTCCTCTGGACTAGAGTGTTTGTCTTTGCTGTGTTTGTTCGGAGGTTTGTGTGTGCTGGAAGAGGGCACTGCTGAGTCTGACTGCTCCTGCTCTGTGTTCTCATTGGCTCGTCCATCAGGTGGGTCTCGTCTTTCTTCTTCCTCACCAGCATCACCATCACCACCTGCTCTGTGCTCCCTGTCAGTGCGCCGAGCTCTCAAAGCCAGCAGCTGACTGCTGTGTCTGGACACCTGCTGCCATAGTCGCCTCTCCAAAACATACAGACAGTGCACTATTCTTTGTAGTCGCTGCACTGTTTCGTTTACATGCCACTGCGCAGTGTGCAAACCTGTACCAACAGACTGTACAAATCTGCGCAGTCTACGAAATAGAGGAAAAGAGTTTATATATTCCACAAGCCATGAAGCTGCCTGTTGCGTCAGCTCGGGGTTCAAATAGGCAGTGGTTGTCACAGCTATAATAACAGTCAGCATGAAGCCATAAATGTTCAGCACAAAGATTTTGATGAACACGTAGATCAATGAGATGAAAAAATCTATAAGCAGTTTAAATGGCTCCCATAAGAAAGCTGTGGTCCCAGCTAGACAGCTGTAGAGGAAGGTGAGAGAGGTAAGTGTGAGCTCCACCACTTTGTGCAGTGGACTGGACACTGTCTGTAGCACACCGACTACCCCCAGGTAAAGGTTTTGAATGGCAATAAGTACAAAGTTGACCACTGTGTTGGTAAAGTACACCACCAGACTGACAACAATACCACATCCTTCCTGCAGAGACAGCAGACCACGACAAAGGTGATCCTTCCCACGGATCAGGATGTGCATGGACAGGTAACCCACCATCTTTAGACTCTCCAGGAGTCCCTCCACTGCCAGTGGCAAGCTCCCGAATACAGTCACTGTTCCGTGGACTATGTCTGAAGTGACTTCTGCAATGGACAGCAGACATAACGAGGTGTAATTGGAAATCTCCAGCAGGAAGCATAGAAGGAGGGCAGGGATACTGTTGATGAAGGAAGTAATAGCCAGGACAGTCCGCACCAAACTGTGGACTATCACAAAATTCAGGTCGAGAAGCAAAAACACGGCGTCCAGGCATTTTGCGGCAGTGGAAAAAACTAAATTCACCAACCCCATCGTAACGTGTCACAGTGTTACGTTCTGCTTATCGGTGCTCAGAGCCATCGGATCTCCACACCTGGAACAAAGTCCATGACGACTGGTTTGGTTCATGAGAAATACTACATTTCTGCTCGCCTTGTCTCTCCGAAGAAAGGCGGCTCGATGTCTTCAGCTAAGTACTTAGTTGAGACGTAATAGATGCGACTTAAATTATGAATCCATCACTTAAAACACCGAGATAACGCTGGAGATATCGGCACACGTTAGCGAGGCGGATGTTTATGTTCAAATAAACTTACAAACTTCCGGTCCGCCCTTTAGTTCGATTCGACTGTGGTCGTCAATAAACAAATTTGCGCAGTCGCCAAATAACAAGTCTTTAGGTGGATGAGCCAAGACTATAATCTAGAAAAAATATATAATACATAAACAAAGCCCGATGTATCCAGTGAATACGCCATATTTGTTTTCGGTCATATCAGCTGACCCAACGTCACTTCCGCTGCGAGGTGGGCTAGTAGTGGGTGGGGTCTGAGATTGTTTATTTGTAAATATAATCCAATAATAATACTTATACTACGACAAGTAATAACGATCATAATGATGATAATAATAATAATCTGATTTATAATTATAACTAAAATAAACTACAACATTCACACCTAGGCATGATCAAGTTTTGTCTTCTTGTGGCCCACATATTTTCATTTCAATTGTGTTATATATTCCTTTAGCAAATACTGCAGTTTTATAGCAATACAACTGAAATTTGGAATCAAGAATTTGCACAGCTGTATTTCCTTCCTTGCCTTATATTTAATTTTCCCCATTTGAGGAGCTACTTTTTGTTACAAGGGAAAACTTACAGATAGAATCATGGGATATCCTGTTCTAAAGTTTTGGATGCTTGTCAAACCGTGTAGCATTTAATGATGCATGTGGGGATCGACAGGAGGAGTACAAGAAGCTATAAAAGGTCTTATGCATGGCTTTGTTTTCTGCAAACCACTTCAAGAGCCTCTCCTTTTATGGAGCGCTACCTTCCTTCTGGTGTCTTTGTGGGACAGTTTCCTCTGTTTGTTTCCCAGATGACCAAATCCTTCCTCTCTGGGTGTCAACAGATTACAAGCCTCCACTTTTATTCTTTTATCTTACATCCACACTGTAGCAACATGAAGATAAATGTTGGTTATGAGTGTCCTTTAATTTTGGATGGTAGTTTGGGAGAAAACCTATTTCTTATATCAATATTCAATATTTGTGATGGCCACCATACCATTTAAAGTCTGCATTCATCACAAGGTATTTGCATGTAAATTGCATTGGGTGACACGTCATTGGTGAGGATTCTGAGCAGTAGCCTGAATTCCATCCACTGACTTTGACCTGCTGTCTGTCCAACACACTGGGAGACAAAGGTGACATTGGTAAAAATATATTGTTGGTGTGGCCAATACATTGAAATAGCCAGTGCCAGTGTGGAATTTCCCCTCAGTGACATTCTTGCTTTCTTCTCAGGACCTTCATGACGTCTGTGCATCTGCAGGATGTCCATTACTTTGCAGCTTCCTGCTTTACGACTCATTGATGACATCTGCCCTTTGTTAAATCTCAAAAGGATGCAGTCCTGAGTCATTATTCCTGATTAAGATCATTATTTCAGTGACAAAGTATTGGTCTGCTGGCATACTTGCTTGGAATATATGTTGATTTTCCATGTTGCAATGCAGCGATGTCCATTTTGCATGAGGAAAATATTCAGTCAAAAAATACAAGTAATCCTTTGTTTTTATGATCTTTTTCAAGATGTTCCCATTAACAGTGGCCGGTGGGTTAATTTATTATGATTGTCCCATTACATATAATCACCATGGAGAGGGAATGTTTAGATCTTGGCTCATGTTGTTATCAAAGTAGTTCTTTGTCACATTAGGAGCTGTTGTGACGGACATTAGCAGAAATTCAAATTTCTCTCCCACCCATCATCAAGCCCCCTCACCATACCAGAGCACACTCAAAGCCCCATGCTACACAATGGTGGTCTCTCATGTGCAATAGACTTACCCCCTAAACAACTGGCTCCCTGGTCACATTGAGATGGAAAAAATTACTCATATCATTCATATCATTGGCTTTCTCTTATGGCACACTTATGTCCCCAGTTGTGCCATCAAAATCACAATAGCTCTGGTAAAGCCTCGCCATAAACCAGAAATGGAATGTGTATGTTCAATCTTTTACATCTTGTTCTATTTAAAGCCAAGGGAAGCTAGAATCACATTTTTCTGCTTCTTTTTCCCTTACTCACTCTCTCAGACTTAACACCGCAATGTTCCCAAATGTTCTGTGCAGGATGTGTCACATTAAAAGGGGAAGAGGGGACATTCTCCACATTTTGTCCACAGGCAGAGTCAAATAAGCTGTCAGATACACGTTCTATATTCATGTTATGTTTAGAATGTTTTCTCAAGCCATGCCAGTGTCGAACTTGACTATAACTCACTGACCTTGAGCAACTGAACAATGTTGTTGTTTTGGGAATGGTGACTTTCCTCCTATCACCTCAAACCATATGGAATGGACTTCATCCTATAGGAAATGAATGCACTCAACATAGTGGTCTACACCCCAACAAAGAGTCATGTGCACGGTGAAAGGTAATTGTATAAATGGCTCTTTGAAAAACCACACACAGAAGCATACAGTCACAGGAACTGGATCTAGCAACACTGACCTTCTTGAGTAAAGCTTATTGTTTGCACTCAAACAATTGTAATTGTGCTGGCTGTATAGTGATATAGTCATCCAGACTAGGAAGTTGTGATGATGTTTAGACAATATCGGACAATTACAGTAGCAGCAAACCAGAGCAGCAGCACTGAGGGTTTTAAAGAGTGGAATGTTAGGACATGTTATCAGCTTTTTCCTCTTATTTCCATCAAAACACAAACATGGTTCATATCTTCAGCAGCAGATCTGGAGTAAAGGCAAAAGGAGGGAAAGAATAACAGAATCAGAATGAACAGAGCTGAACATCATCAGGAGCTGTCCACTCAAGTGCAGATTCCCGTCAGGACAGCGGAACACTTTTTACTATCAGGATTCAGGAAAACCATTGGCCTTCTTCGTGCTTGAAAAAACTAGGTTAGTTAGAAGTAGGGAAACACCAGTATCAGGTATTGAGTCTATCCAGGAAAATGTACTAGATCAGGTCAATACCCCAGTTGCCTCATAATATTTGTTCTTTACTCAGACATTGCTGTAACACTGATACAGATTCTTTAATAATAAATCTTGTTGGTGTTTTAAGGACACAAATATACTTTCAATCTTGGTTATTGATCACTTAAATCAGGAATGACATTATGAGAACAACCACCAGCAGCTGTCTCATGTAACATACAGTGATGTTAGTGATGCACTATTCTTCATTAGCTGGAACACTTTCCATAGATTCCATGCAACAAAAGTTTTAACTGTGCAGTTTATTTTTGTATTTTGGTCCTAGGTAATATTGTTCTAATTACATGTGGTTAGAAGGTCATGCATGAGCGGGGAAATTTTGTAATTTATAGCAGGTTTCTTGCCACACTATAGCCTACAATACATTCAACTGCATCAATTCAGAAGTGTTGTCCGATAAAATCCAAGCCAAGGACTAATTTAAGATAATATATTGGCCCATGAAAAAAATAAATCCCAGCCCCACCTAACTGAATAACTTCTGCGTACACTCTACGCTTGTGCAATATCAGTCATTTCTCTATTGCCTTGTCCTTCCTTTGTGACCCAGTGTCAGTGGTTTGGCAGAGCTTCGCAGCAGACAGGGGTTTCCACCAATAAAGGTTACATATCAGAGTTTGAGCATGTCTCATCCTTTGATCTGTCTCCAAGAGCTAGATACTGAAAATGTTCACACGGGATAAAACCATATCAGGACTAATGGTGGAATGCATAATTTTACATAGTTTGGCCTAATTCAGTAGTTAGAATAAAAAATAGCATCCTTGAAAACTTGATAGCAGTAGATTATATATTTAACACAGTACTATTGAAAAGTGGGAAAACACTGTGACTTTAAGATAGCCCTACCAGTCAGCTTGCCCAGACCCTTCAGCACTCTAATAGCCTATGTCATTTTCAGTCTGACCTCTTGCACCCAGAGCCAGATAGTAGGTATAGTTTAGTACATAGTAGATAGTACAGAGCCTCAGCAGTGAGATCTCAATAAGTGCCAGGCTGATTTACAATGGACATTTTAGCTAGGGTACATTTTAGAAAAGGATACAGACCTAGTAGAAATAGTGCAATCAGCCTGATAAAATAAAGATTCCTGGCCTTAAAATGCATCAGAAATTAGTTATGATTTGTTAATATATTTTAAAAACACAGTTTTCATATTTTAAAAGTCACAAACCTTCAGAACCCAAGTCAAACCATTATTCATAAGTCACAAAATAAATCTGTGACCATTACTGAATGAGGATATTGTATTGTTGACTGAGTAATCATGTCTCTCTGAACAATTAGTACTACTCATGTTTTAAACAATGAAAAACATTGAACCAGCAATAAAAGGGATCCACAAGTCACCTACTTGGACATTAAGTGTAGCCCATTTCTTTTTCTTTTCAATACTCAATTGAACCAGCAACATAAAGATTAGAAATTATATAAAACATGTCAGCATTTCTAATGAGAGAGGTGGGCCTGTCCGTGTCTTTGTAACATGTTCTAATCATGGTGCAGGAGAGAGCAACGGCAGATCAGGCGCAGCATTCAGTCTCTTTCTGTGCTTTATCTTCATTTTTGTGAGCATAGAAAATCTCATGTGTCAGAACTGTATATTGCAGACCTACATGCAGATCGTGACAAGGCGACCCCCAAAAAAATCTCTTGTGAACCAGCTCAGGGTCGCGACCCAGTCTTTTGAAACAATGCTCTAAATGAGCAAAGGCTGCACGTGTAAATGTATGTAAAATAGTAAATAGTGCAGCCAAGAACCAGTCAATTAGTTATAAATAAAAACTATGTGACTTTCTTAGCACTGTTAAACTCAACTCAAACATGACTATATTTTGCTCAAGTGTTTTGTATGCTAACAAATTAGATCACAAAGGCACAGTCGCGATAGTGTGGTGTAGTGAGAGTAGTGTAGTGGTTTAGCCCTCCCTCCTGTTCATCCCGTTCATTTCACCCAGGTTCCTCCTCCCGCACTTTAAAATCTACAATTAAATCATATGCTCTTCAAAAACACAAGATTGTCTGATAATTCATTTTAATAACTCCATATTTACTTTGTTAGTAACTTAAGAAAATAGCCTAGCCTATGTAACCCGTTTTGTGATTTTAAGAGTTGATGTTTTTTTTTTTTTTTTTACAGTGTCCGACCTCCCGGCTCTGCCCCCTGATGGATCATTTGGTTGTGCGCGCTGCTCTGCCTCGCCGCCCCCCTCTCCCTTCCTCT